GGGGGGAGGGGGGAGGGCGGAGGGGAGGGGAGGAGAGGAGAGGAGAGGAAGAAAAGAAAATGAGGACAAGGATAAAAGGCAGACTATAGGCCTAAACTCTCATCAGACTGAATTTCAGTGGTTTAACCAGCTCAGAGGACTATGGGAAAACAGTAGCTATTTGATAATAGTTTGTAAAATGCTGCTATTCATTTACTAGTCAGGCTCCCTCACTAGACGGGTCCAGAAGAGCAGTAATCTTAAATTTCTGCCTCACCCATGGCTACCCAGTGACTTACAAAGGCCTGACAGAGAAGGTATTCAAATATTTGTTACATGACTAAGTCATCTGTTCTCCCATTGGAGCCTTTACTGGTTCTATGGACTCACTTTGGGTCCATCCAAAAATATTTTACTGATGTACAGGTGTCACTGTTACTAATTCCAACTTGAAGTCAGCTTCATTTTAGCTTAGGTTTGTAGGTTATATAGCATTGGCAGAACACTTTAATGACAGGTGAATGGACTACTGAATGCTAAATTCCACTCTGCCTCACTACCAATGAACTGATAACCTTTAGCAGAGCAATCTGGATCAGGGACATAAACACTTGAGTACTGAGCTCAAAATGCTATTGCTATAATCAGAAAATACAAAGGGCTGAGGAGGTAGCTTAGTGGCACCACAACTACCTGTCAAGCACAAGATCCTGAGTTCAATCCCTAGTACTGGAGGGTAAAAAGGGAGAGAAAATGAGGTGGCATATGATCAGGCAAGGGGGTCTTTGTAAAGTGGTTTACAAACCTCTGACCAAAAATTTCACTCTTCTGGATTTGTTCATTTGTTGTAAATTCTTAGTTTTTTATCTTTTTGAGACAGTCTTGCTATATAGTTCAGGCTGACCTTAAACTCACTGTGCAGCCCAGGCTTGCCTCAAACTAGTGGCAATCCTCCTGGCTCAGCCTCCCAAGTGCTGGGACTACAGGTATGAGCCACCCTGTCCAGGCTTATCTTTTTTTGAGTGCAAATAAGTTAACAGAAATCAATGCACAAATCTGTCCATCTATAAGTTGCTAGTAGAGCTGGGCATGGTGGCATGAACCTATAATACCAGGACTTGGAAGGCTGAAACAGGAGGCTTATGAGTTCAAAGCTGGCCCGGACTATACAGCAAGACAAATAATATCAAAGTTCCTATTGGGGCCAGGGGGAGCAGCTCACTAGTATAGAACCTGTGTGGCATGTATAAGGCCTTGTTTGATTCCCAGTATCATTAAGCAAAATATTTTCTAGCAGACCTGCTCAGATCTGGAGTATCCACATTCCAATTATTTTTTTGTGTGGGTACTGGGGAACAAACTCAGGACTTTGTGCTTGCCAGGCAGGCTTGGCACCACTGAGCTAAATCCCTGGCCCGTCACATTCCAATTCTTTAAGAGCACTATATTGGAGCCATATGTGGTGTTGCACACCTGTAACTGCAGCTACTCAGGAGGCTGAGACTGGAAGATTGCAAGTTCAAGGCTAGTGTAAGCAACTTAGCAAGAGCCTGTCTCAAAACAGAAAAGGTTCAGTGGTAGGTAGAGTGCCCCAGATTCAACTCCCAGTACTACCCCACACACACACACACACACACACACACACACACACACACACACACACACACACACAGAGAAGTTGCTCTAGTGGACAGGCTCTATAAACAAAATACTACGTGTAGTTTTTTAGTGGTGTGTGGCATAGTAGTATGTAATCTCAGCACTTGAGAGGCTGACGTGAAGAAAATGGCAAGTTCAGGGGCAGCCTGGGCTATATAGTGAATTCAAGACCACCCTGAACTACAGAGCAAGACCCTGTCTCAAAAAAAGAAACAAAAAAAAAAAACCAAAAACTAAAAAACCCCGAAGTGCATGTTTTCAATCACACATGCTTTGTTCAAGTGTGACTGATGGCAATTCCCAAAGAGCTTTGTGAGCAATCCCTCAGATCCTGATGATTACATTATTAAACTGAAGCTTTCAGCTTTAGTGATATGTTTTATGTTTGTTCTTCAGAGACAGGCTCTCACTACATAGTTTAGGCTAGCCTTGAATTCACTGTGTGTCTCAGGCTAGCCTTGAACTTAAAGCAATCCTCCTGCTTCAGCTTCCCAAGTGCTGGGATTATAGGTGTGTGCCACTACACCCAGATCAAATTTTCTTTTTAGTTACTAATTATTTTACCTCAAACTGCTGATCCATATTTGGCAAAAACAGACTAATTTCCCTTTTTCCCTAGTTTCCTAATCATAGTTCAGCTCAGTGCCTAGTGAAAAGACATGAAAAGTTCACCTTTTTATGTATATATATCTCACTTATGACTGTTATAGCAAGTTGGCCATAGGAAACATGGAAGTAACTTTTATAACTTTTAGAATGCAAGACAGAAATGGTTTGATCGCCGGGTGTGGTGGCGCACACCAGTAATCCCAGCACTCGGGAGGCTGAGGCAGGAGGATCGCTGTGAGTTGAGATCAGCCTGGGCTACACAGTGAGTTCCAGGTCAGACTCAACTACATAGTGAGACCCTGTCTCAAAAAACCAAAAAAAGAAATGGTTTGATCACTTCCAAGATTCCCACAATTTAAAATCCCTCCTTCCATCAATTGTGTAACATTTCCAACTCAGATTACGATTCCCAGGTCTAATTTTTAATTCCTTAATCTTATATATAATAAAGGTTTCTATCAGCCAAAAGTCTAATAACTTTCCTGACAAAGGAATGTGAAATTCAATACACTGAAATCTACACTGATCTTTCTCACTTCATAAAAACGTAGTAGAGATGTAGATACAGACTTTAAAACAAATAATAAACCCAAAGTCTTTCATAAAATGTAAACACAATTATACTCATATAATTCAAGCTTTCTCAGGAACATTTTTCAGGGCTAATCTCTCAAAATTATCATCAGATTATCCAAGACAGTCTTGTTTTCCATAAGCACATACCTTAAAGTCACGATTTTGCAAAGTCAACCATTACACACTTGTGGGAAACCAGCTCGTTTAATTGTGACATTGAAAATTGTACAAGTGTTCTGACATCTGCCCTCCTCCCCATATTTAGTCTCTTAAAATGACAGAAAATATCATCACCACTCAACAAGTTTAATGGGTTTAATAAGTGTACCCCTTCAGTTCCTATTTGCAGCACCCGTTATTCCTTTGAAATACCAGTGAGACATGGCAGTGGCCAAAAGTAAATTTCTACCCTTCAGAGATGAAAAGTTCAGGTTCTCTTGAGCATTCTCGGTTGTGGTGGCACTTATCCAGAATCGGTACCTCTCCACAGCTGGGGAGCTTTAAATGTACCAATGAAAGAAAAGCTTTTTCCCCTTCAAGGGGAAGAAAGAAAATTATTCCTCAAAACCTAGCTGATCTGGCTGTGAGGTCTTTCCTTCTGTCCTATCTCTCCACGCTCTTTTTTTTTCTTCTTTTTTGCAGTAGAGCAAGAGAGATCAAAACCTAACCTGAGTTACAAGAAACAAGACAGTGATGGCTATAAAAGAGAGTGACCAGGAGCAACTGAGACACCATACTCCCTCTCACCTCCCTCATCCATGTATGTGCTTCACAGAAAACAACAAAAATAACAAATCCACAAAATACAACAGCTAGAATTACAAAACTCAATCATCCAAGGGTGCTGGAAGGCAGAAAGGATAGGGGGGTAAATGGCACAGGGGAACAAAGTATTCAAATCAGTCCAGGCACAGGGGCTGGCAAGTGCTAGAAATTTCTGTAGAAACTACAGAAAAACCTGTGGTCCATTCAGACTCATGATGGTGTTAAAAATCCACACACTGGTGTCAGGAAGATTCTGCCTTACGTGCACCAGAGACAAAAATTCCATTTCTTCAAAGAGAAGGGACTATGCAGAGGACCCATGGCAGAATGGGTCCTGCCTTCCCTGGCTGGGGAGAACAGAGAAAACAGCTGCCACAGCCTCCCTCCAATCCCACCCTTCCCCTCGGGATGGCAGTCAACTCAGTGGCCTGCGGCAGCCTTCAGTTTGGCAGGAGACGGATGCGGTGAGGGGAACTTCTCAGCAGAGGTGGAGCTGCTCAGTGAAGACTGCAGGTAGACTGTCTTATGGAAGAATCTGTTGCTTAAGAAGACCACCAAGGAGAAGAGACGTAACTGGAAAAGGCTAGAGGACAAGAGACCGAACTTGTTAGCCTCCCAGTTAATCAACATCATTGTTTCCATTATGTGACAGATAATTTGACGACATTAAACTTACAGTATATAAAGACAAAGCAACTGAAAATTGATCAAAATATATTTGATCAAAGAAGTTTAGACCATTAGACACATGAACTGAACAGGCAACTAAAGGACATACTGGAAACTGAGCGTGGTTCAGTGGCAGGGGGCTTGCCAAGGATGTATGAGATCCGGATTCAATCCCTAGTACTGGAAAGAAAATGCAGTGGGTCCTGCTGCAGCCATGAAAATACTGGAATAAACAATTTTGAAGTATTGGGGCTCCCAGAGGAAGCAGTATTTTGGGAATGGGTATGATCACAATATATTACACGCATGTATGAAAAAAACCACACTGAAACCAGCTATGGTAGCAAATCGTATAATCCTAGCAGGAGGCTGAGGCACAATTACAATGTGAAGCCCAGACCAGACAACTCAGCAAGACCCTGCCTCAAAATATGAATAAATAAATGGGGCTGGGAAGCTAAAGCCCTAGGTTCAATCACCAGTACTGGGAGTGGGGTGGGGGAGGGAGGCCTCACGAGTATAAACAGCTCTTACAAAAATGAGCTTAACTACAGATGCTTGTAAGTGGCTTATATTATATTATATTATATTCCCCACCCTCTTTGGTGATGCTCAGGATAGAACGCAGCGCCTTAGGCACATTAGGCAAGCACTCTACCGTTGAACTACACCCCTAGCTGAATTGTTAAATTTTAATATATGTATATACATATTCATGGGGAAAATGTGGAAGTGTTTTTCTTAAGGTCTTCTTACAACATAAGATTATTAAAAGTGTACTAATATAACTATAGCATTAGAGCCCTTCTTTATACAGCAAAAACCTCATTACCAGCTGATACTCACTATGCTTTTCCAGGAGTCTTTGCTTCATTGGCGCTGATGATGAATAAAGGAAAGAGGATAGAGAAGAGGCAGCCACTAAAAAAGAAAAAAATAATGAATCCCCTTCACTACAGCCATGACTCTGGAGTCGATACTATAAGTGCAGTTCCTGGGCTTTCACTGTGGATATCAAAGCATGATGAAACTCTAATAAATCAGACACAGCATTTGAGAAGGACAGATTTTTCTAAGCACTCTTTATGTTTAACACCACTCTAGGACACAACATAGAAGAATGAATACGGACTAGAAAATCACTCAGCCAAATGCCTACAGATGTCTGCCAAAGAGAAAACTTATTACAGATCTCCTGATGGTCAAATAAGAATAGAAAATGCTTGGCAGAGACCTGAACAAATAAAAGATGCTTGCTATATGAATTTTATTCTTACTATTTGCACTCAGATCTTTCTAGCCCAATTACCTGATAATATATGAGGGCTGCATTGCTGTGAGGAAAGCCAAGGGCAAACCAAATCCAAAGTAGTAAGGCCAGTTCCTTTCTATGTTTGACAATCGCTGATGCATTTCAATCCCTAAGACAAGGAAACCAATACAATTAGATTACTTATTTTCTTTTAGTCCTAAGTGATAAACTATGGTAGACAAACTAAATGAGGCTTGGGTTTTGGACACAGACCTACCATTTAGAACATGACTAAAGCATACAAAGTAATTGTGCAGATCTGATATAAAGGTTCTATGATAGTCACACAGGGTGGCACATGCCTATAATTTCAGCATTCTGAGTAAATTATAGTTATAGGGAGAGTAAAGCAAGAGGATCCCAAGATGGAGCCCAGCCCGAGCAACTTAGGGATTTAATAAGGCCCTGTCTCAAAATAAAATGTAAAAAAAAAAAAAAAAAAAAAAAAAAAAAAATAGCTTTTATGCAAAGTTTGCAATTTAAATAATCACAATTTTAAAACCAACAGAGTAAGTGAATTATGAATTTCAACACCAGCACTTGCACCAATATCCTTAACAGGACTAGTCTAGAACAAGACACCAAATCAAAAGGATGCTATCCTGTAAGAATCAATTAACCTTTCACACCCATACACACCCAGATAAATAGTCTTTTTGTATAGACCCACAAGTAATGTGTTAGGCTGGGTGTGGTGGCAAACGCCTGTAATCCCAGCATTCAGGAGGCTGAGGCAGGAGGATCGGCCTGGGCTAGAGTCCCAGGTCAGTCGCAACTACATAGTGAGATCCTGTCTCAAAAAAAAAAATCCAAAAAAGCAATGTGCTGGCATTCGTCTAATTTTTCTAATTTAGAAGAATCCATGCTGAATAATTCAGCTCAGTCAGAGCTACATCACATTAACCACAAGAATGCTAATTTTGCCTGGCAAGCACAAGGCCCTGAGTTTGATTCCAGTACTGGGGGAAAAGAAAATGCTACTTTTAGGGGATGAGGAGGAGGCTCAGTGGTAGAGCTCTTGCCTTGCAAGCACAGGCCCTGGGTTATACCAGCACTACACAAGCTAAAAAAAAAACAAAAAACTAATTTTATTTTGTTTTTGTTTTGGTACCGGAGATTGAACTTGGGACCTTACACTTGTGAAGCAGGTGGAGGTGAGCTAAATCCCTGGCCCAAAAGAATGCTAATTTTACATTGTTATTTCCTCTAATTTCAAAGTTAGGGGTCAAACACACAAAGCCAAATGTAAGCTCCCTTTCTTTCAAATGGAGCTCCTTCCTTTCAGTTGATTTGCCCAGGACTTGAACAATTTAGTTCTGCCTAGGAGTAGCATTTCCACACTGGGTCTCTATACACAGGGTTCTTTAGATGGACTTACCTTTATTGAACCAACGATATTCAAAGCAGTACAGTGAGTAGAGTAGGGACATATGAAGCAGACTGACCAGCTGACCAACAAGATGGATGGGAAAGAGACTCACAAACATCCCCTGAAGAACAAATACAACAAATCTTAATTCCAAAGCTGCAGACACCTAACACTATTCGCCCACCCTGCCCAATCATCACTGCTGCCCACCCTGGCCAATCATCATTGCTACTAAGATAGACTTCCAGCTACCTATTAAGTATTATAGAGCAAGAACATGGAGAACATCTGGGGTGGCAGGAGAAGTGTGAATAAATTCATGTTTTTTATAATTTTATACTTATCTTTGCTTTTTGAGACAAGATCTCACTAGGTAGTTCAGGCCGACCTAGAACTATGTAGCCCAGGCTGGCCTCAAACTCATGGCAACCCTCCTGCCTCAGACTTCTGAGTGCTGGGATTACAGGTGTGTGCCATCACTCCTGACCTACAATTTTATATCTAAACATTTTTTTCTATTTTTTCAGTCATTACCTCCCACAAAGTGTATATGGATATCCCAGTATAAATGCAATTCACTGTCTTTATGAGGCTCCATCTAGTGACACTTATTTTTAATGTGCCCATGTGTCCAGAAGGCCAGTCTCACCTGGAGAAGGAAAAGAGCCTGCAGCAAAAGGTTGAAGAGCATGTCAGCAATTATTTTGCTGACACTGGGAAATGGGTGAGGCTTTCTCCCTGATACCTCAAATGCCAGGTCAGCTATATCCTGAAACAGAGAAAGCAGTGGGCCAAAACATGAATTAAATGGCCTTAATATCCATTCTTAAAACAAAGGATTCTGGTCTGCCACTAAAACTTCCACATGAAGAAAGCCTTCAGCCTCTGGCAAGGTGCTTCAGTGACCTAAGACAACAATTCCATTTTACAAAGACAAAAAGATCTCCCACTGATTACTTGGCCAAGAAAGATCAAGGCTGAAAAAGGTACCTATGTGCCCCTAACTTCACAGGCTCAAACTTGTCACCTGTCCACCATCATATAGGACCCGACTCCATTATCCCCTGGACCTACTTGAAACCAAATGGCATTCACGACTTTGCTAAGCACAAACAGGGGAAGCACCCAAAGAGCGCTGAAAACCGACGTGAGGAGGAATTCCAGCCACGACCAAAGATATCCATGTAAAGACGGATCACCTAAAAAGGGCAAAGAGTGATTAGCTTAAGAGGAGAAAGGGAAAACCAGCAGACCAAATATGGAACTCCTATTTTCTGACTATTTTTTCCCCTCACCTCTTTCTTTTCCTTTCCAGTATATCACTGTACCTAGCTCAAAGACTTTCACAGCAGACTCAGCCATATTCTGGCCACCCTTCCCTTCAGAGTAAACAGATATATATGTGCTGCTTATCTTTAAACAAATCTGCTCACAAGGTGATGACTGAGATGTCACAGTGAATAATAGTAAACAATTAGGAGGAAGCCATCTGGGTTTAAAATCCCAGCTCTGCCATTTACTAATGGTTTAACCATGGTAACTAACTTCCATTTCCTCATCAACTGTTGATGAGAGAGAACAAGAATGCATTTCTCAAAGGGTTGTTGAGATGTCTGAGTTAAAAACATCTAAAGCTCCTGCCCTACAGGAAATGTTTAATAAACTGAGGGGGACTAGAAAAATATCTCCCATGTCCATTCCCAGCGGACATCAAGGAACAAGGCTATATACTTACCAATAACTCGGGCGGTTCCTGACTGAAGCATAGGAATACATATTCGATAAAAGAAGAGGAGACTTAACTAAAAAGAAAGAAGCAATAAGGTAAATGTCAAAAGTCCTTCTTCAAAACAAGAATTTCAAGTTTCAATGTGACAATTTTCCAGATGAGGGTGCCTGCTAAAAATCAGGAGGACTAGCCCAGGTGTGGTGGCACATGCCTGTAATCCCAGCACTCTGGGAGGTTGAGGCAGGAGGATTGCAAGTTCCAGCCCAGCCTGGGTAAAAGTGACTTTGTGAAACTTTGTCTCAAAATAAGAGGTAGGGATTTAACTCTCAGTGCAATACCCAGTAGCAAAAACAAACAAACAAAATTTTAAAATCAAGAAATCTGAAGAAACACCAAAATCAGACCATTTCTATTTTCCATTACTCCAAACCGAGTGGTGCAAACTTGATACTGCTTATACAACATTGAACTGGGTGGAGTGGGGGAAAAGAATATTTTAGATAATATTAAAGTCAAAATATACAGGCAAAGCCAGGCATGGTGGCTCACATCTGTAATCCCAGCACAGGAGGGTGAGACAGGACTGCTAGGAGTTCAAGGCCACCCTGGGCTACAAAGTCAGCATTAACTACAAAAAACCAAAACAAAAGCAACAACAAAAAAACGTGCTAAAATATAGACATATACTAAATATATAAGTACATAGCAAATATTAAGTAAATCTAAAGTTAACATCTGAAAACATCTGTGAAATGTTTTGATAAACTGAATTACACTGAATTCCAAGTCAAAGGAAATACCTAATCATCTATTCTTCAAAGAACCCAAATTTCACTTAAAACTATGCTGGTTCTCCATTAACTGTAGGCAACCTTTTCTGTCCTGGGTTTCAATAATAACCAGTCCTGCCCAATTACTATGACCAGAGACAAGGAGAGCCTTGCTATTATCCAGCTATAACTTCTTTTCTGATTCCCATAGATCTCTTAGTCAAAATGCTTAGACAGTATCAACAGATATTGTTATCTATAATGCTACTAAAGCTTGTGAATAATTCATTAAAAAAAAAAAAAAAGCCAGGCAGTGTCACAGGCCTGTAATTCCAGCTACTTAGGAGGCTGAAACAGGAAGATTTCAAGTTTAAGGCCAGCCTGGGCCTCAGTGAGACCCTATCTCGAAGTAAAATTTAAGAGCCAGGCATGATGGCACACACCTGTAATCCCACCACTTGGGAGGCTGAGCCAGGAGGATCACTGCAAGTTCACTGGGCAGTCAAGGCCAGACTGGGCTACATAGTAAGTTCAAGTGTGAAATGTATTGCTAGACTCTGCCTCAAAAACAAATACAAAACAAAAGAAAACAAAAGAAAAAGGGATGGCGTAGAGTATGGTAGCACATGTCTATAATCGCCGTACTTGGAAAGTGAAGGACAATCACCAAGGTCAGCCTGAATTACATCGTGTAGTGAGACCCATCTCAAAAAGGGAGACCAGGGGATGTTACACAGTGGCAGAGCATGCAGAGCTGCCTAGCATGTACAAGATGGTGGATTCAATTCCCAATACCATGAAAAAAAAAGATATGTTCTTTTTTCAGTAGGAATAAAATCCCTGTGAGTACACAGAATCCTGAGTTATGGTCTTAAGTGTGTATACACAGTTAGAAGCTACATGCCTTAGTGTTTTAAGAAAACAGCTGACGACCACTAACATAGCAACAATCTAAAGATGCTTAAGAGACATCTAGAATTTGAAGGAAAAAACTTACCCAGAATACGCCACCATTCCAAGCACAGCACTGGAAAATTCTATTAACGATGCGTGTTTCACTGGAAAAGACCACATGCTTTAGCTTACAAGGCATATAGATGATTTCCTAGCTATCATTCAGTAGCCCATCATTTTTATACCTTCCTTTGGTGCCATATTATTTTCAGTAACTTATGTTCTCCCAATGTTCTAATTCAGTCAATGAGAAAAGACTAAAAATATTTCTGAATAACTACCTTTCCTTAAAAAAAGTTATTTCTGCCCAGTTTGGTGGTGTATGCCTATAATCCCAGCACTCAGGAAGCAGAGGCAAGAGTAGTGCCATAAGTTTTGAGGCCAGCCTAGGCTACAGAATAAACTCAAGACCAGCCTGAACTGCATAGTAAGACCATGTCTCTAAATAAATAAATAACTTTCCGAAATCTGAGATTGGAAAAGATTAAAAGAGAAAGCCAAAGGTCAGGGTTCTTCTATCAGTAAATAAATCCATAAAGCTTTCCTACAAGTATCCATGAAACCAAATAATTTTTTTGGTTTTCTGTTTAGTATTCTGATTTTTTAAAATTAATATTGTAAGATTTTAAACAGATATTACTAGATGCTAGTGTAAGTGATGGGGGGGCAGAAAACCACCTATAGCATTTTTCTATAAGCACGAGCGCGCGCGCGCACACACACACACACACACCACATAATGGAGTGCTGGAACTTCCTAAAGCGCCCCTCCCTCGGACGTTTCCTGATCAGGCCTACATGCCTTACCTCTCCTGCTTCCGCTCTATACTCTGGGCTCTCCTCTGAGCCAAAACACTACTGGCCCTTCTTCGTCGCTGCTCCTCTCTCTTTTGCTGGATTCGAGCATCTAGCTTTGAAATGGTACAAATGCCCCAGATGGAGTCTTTGATTCCCTATAGATAAGGATATTTTTAAACAGGAAAGATTATGGATTGTACAAGACTTTCCAAAATTACATATAGGAAAGTGAAGTTAACAGTAAAAACTATAAAACTTTTGAAATAGAACTTAAAGGGCCTTTTGATTTTTATTCTTCTTCTTTTTTATTTTTTCCAGTGCTAGGGATTGAACTCAGGGCCTTATGCACGCTAGGCAAGTACTCTACCATTGACCTATACCTTAGCCCTTGATTTTTTTTTTGGGGGGGGTACCAGGGATCAAACTCAGGTCCTTGCACTTGCATGGCAGATGGTGGAACCACTGAGCTAAATCCCTGGCAGCCCTTAATTTTTTAAAAAATGATTCCAGTCCAAGGAAGAGTTGCAAAAATAATGGAAAACTTCCAAATATATTTTATAGAGATTCATCAGTTTAATGTTTTGCCATATTAATAAATATATTTTTATGAATCATTTAAGATTTTGAATGTCTTTTTTCAGTGTGTATTTCCTAAGAACAATAATTTCATAAACCACAGGGCAGTTATCAATTCAAGAAATTTAATACTGAAAAGCTTTTAATGTAGTTTTGCCAGTTGTCCCAAAAAATGAGTTCTGTGGCACTCTCAAGAGCTCAGTCTAGCATCACACATTACATTTACTTTTCATATCTCTTTAGCCATCTCGCTCTTTTTTTTTTGGTATGGGGGATTGAACTCAGGTCCTTGCGCTTGCAAGGCAGGCGGCAGAACCACTGAGCTAAATCCCCAGCCCTCTTTAACCTTTTTAAATCCATGTCAGTACTTTAGCTTTTGTCTTTTTTTTTTTTTT